GTGGACTTCTCTTGGGAGCTTTATTTTTCATTGCATATCTTGTAAAGACTCAATACACCTGATCTATGCCATCCATCATCTTCTCTCTGGTTATCTCCAAGGTCCCTGCGAGAATTTCTATCATTATCTCTGCCAAGTTCTCTTCCTTTTCTTCTTCTATGTTTTGGAATCTGAGGTAGAATTCTGATCTGTCAATCTCCCATCCTAATATTCTACTTTTCTCTTTTTTGACCACACTTATCGATTATCAATATCTCCAATTTTCTTGTCTCTTTGTTCATCTTTTTCTTCAATGTTCTGGAATCTATCTTCAAATTTCATCATCATTTAGTGGATGTTCTCAACTTTCTTATCTGTTTTTTTTCTGTTCACTTTTCAATATTTTCGGTTCTTAATTCTATCTTTTGGATCCCTTGCAAAATCATTTGTAGTGTCCCTTCTTTGTCTTTTTCCTGCTGCAACATCGTCTGGATTGATCCTTGCCATCCAGATGGTGAAGAAGAGGAAGTTGGTATTGAAGAGCTGGAAGTCGTTATCTTTTTACTCATTTCCACCAAGTTAATGAGCCTTATTGGCTGGGAAGTACAAAATCTTTGGGTTCTTCTATTCCTTAATCCATTTGTGTGGAGGGTATTTGTAATAAAAAATGATCCTAAAATAAAAACCAAACCAAAAAAATGGAAAAACTTCTGAAAAACAGAAATAGGAGAAAAAAGGGGGGTCTTCAGGCTCTTATGAGCCCTAATCCAATTGGTTCCAGATGTTTGCAAAAAGAAAAAATGAAAAAAGGGGGGGGGAAGGCAAAAGATTTTAGCAGATCAGTCACAATATAAATAGGAAGAGTAAGAGGGGGAAAAGGGCAGTTATGATCTTCAGGGTCTTCTTTAACTTAATCTAATTAAGTATCATATGAAAACAGAATGAAAAATCCAAAAGGAAAAAGGGAGGAAAAAAAGAGAAAAGTAAAGGAGATGGGGGGGGGGAGTTATATCTATCAAAAAGGAAAAAGGAGAGGAGAAGAAATAAGGTTGCTTTAAGAAAAATAAAAGCATTGAGCTAAGAGAGAGAAGAGGGGGGGCGGGCAAAAAGAGGCTAGGTTTCTGCTGCCAAAAGCCTCTAATCGGCTGAAAGGGGGAAGCAGTGAAGTGGGAAAAAGAAAAAATAAAGGTAAATAGAAAAAAGAAATCACAGCCACTACTGAGGTTCTCATGCTAAGTTCCAAACAGAGTTGTCAATTCTCTTTTTCCAAGGTCACAACAAACTTATAGCTTTAAAGTGCCAAGCTCCCTTTCAGTCCAGCCTCCATTCACTGATAATATCCCAGGATAATAAACCATCTTCACTGCTTTCCCCATTATCAGCTGGCTCAAGGACTTTTTCTCAAAGCACACCTGCAGAGAAAAGGAAACAGCCTCTAGGGGGCAGTGTTACTTCTTTTTCAGCACTAGACCAGTGTTTCTCAACCTTGTCAACTTGAAGATGTCTGGACTTCAACTCCCAGAATCCCCCAGCCAGCATTCGCTGGCTGGGGAA